TAGAAAGGAAGAGAGAGAGAGAGAGATATAGAAAGGAGAGAGAGAGAAGAATAGAAAGGAGAGAGAGAGATATAGGAAAAGAAGAGAGAGAGAAAGAAAGGAAGAGAGAGAGAGAGAAAGGAAGAGAGAGAGAGAGAGAGAGATAGAAAGAAAGAGAGAGAGAGAGAGAGAGAGAGATAGAAAGGAAGAGAGAGAGAGAGAGAGAGAGAAGAAAGGAAGAGAGAGAGAGAGAGAGAGAGAGAGAGAGAGAGAAGGAAGAGAGAGAGAGAGAGATAGATGAGAGAAGAGAGAGAGAGATAGAAAGGAAGACGAGAGAGAGAGAGAGAGAGAGAGATAGAAGATGAGAAGAGAGAGAGATAGAAAGGAAGGTTGCGGGAAAGAGAGAGGGAGGGAGGAGGGAAAGAACGAATTAGAGGAAGAGGGAGGGAGAGACCAAAAGATAGTGACATTTAGAGAGTGAAGATAAGAGGAGTGAAGAGAGCAGAATGATAAGGAAAAGCAGAGAGACAGAGTGAAGAAAGAATGAGAGAGAGTGTGAATGAGAGGAGTGTGAGAGTGAAATGAAGAAGGATGAGTGTGAGATGAGTGTGAATGAAAGAGGATGAGTGTGAGAGTGAGTGTGAATGAAAGAGGTTGAGAGGTGAGTGTGATGAAAGAGATGAGTGGTGAGAGGATTGTGCATGAAAGAGGATGAGTGGAAGTGAGTGTGCATGAAAGAATGAGTGTGAAGTGAGTGTAATGAAGAGGATAGTGTGAGAGTGAGTGTGCATGAAAGAGGATGAGTGTGAGAGAGTGTGGAAGAGGATGAGTGTGAAGTGATGTGCATGAAAGAGATGAGTGTGAGAGTGAGTGTTGCTGAGAGTGAGTGTGCATGGAGGATGAGTGTGAGAAGTGAGTGTGCATGAAAGAGGATGAGTGTGAGAGTGATGTGCATGAAAGAGATGAGTGTGAGAGTGAGTGTGCATGAAAGAGGAGAAGGTGACCATGAAAGAGGATGAGTGTGAGAGTGAGTGTGCATGAAAGAGGAGAGTGTGAGTGAGTGTGCGATGAGTGTGACGAGTGAGTGTGCATGGAGGAATGAGTGTGACAGTGAGTGTGCATGAGAGGTGAGAGTGTGAGAAGTGTGAATGAAAGAGGATGAGTGTGAGAGTGAGTGTGAATGAAAGAGGATGAGTGTGAGAGTGAGTGTGAATGAAAGAGGATGAGTGTGAGAGTGAGTGTGCATGAAAGAGGATGAGTGTGAGAGTGAGTGTGAATGAAGGATGAGTGTGAGAGTGAGTGTGCATGAAAGAGGATGAGTGTGAGAGTGAGTGTGCATGAAAGAGGATGAGTGTGAGAGTGAGTGTGCATGAGGATGAGTGTGAGAGTGAGTGTGCTGAGGATGAGTGTGAGAGTGAGTGTGCATGAAAGAGGATGAGTGTGAGAGTGAGTGTGCATGAAATGATGATGAGAGTGAATGCATGAAAGAGGATGAGTGTAGAGTGAGTGTGCATGAAAGAGATGAGTGTGAGAGTGAGTGTGCATGAAAAGAGGATGAGTGTGAGAGTGAGTGTGAATGAAAGAGGATGAGGTGAGAGTGAGTGTGCATGAAAGAGGATGAGTGTGAGAGTGAGTGTGAATGAAAGAGGATGAGTGTGAGAGTGAGTGTGAATGAAAGAGGATGAGTGTGAGAGTGAGTGTGAATGAAAGAGGATGAGTGTGAGAGTGAGTGTGAATAAAGAGATGAGTGTGAGAGTGAGTGAGAATGAAAGAGGATGAGTGTGAGAGTGAGTGTGAATGAAGAGGATGAGTGTGAGAGTGAGCTGAGGAATGAGTGTGAGAGTGAGTGTGAATGAAAGAGGATGAGTGTGAAAGTGAGTTGTGAATGATGAGTGTGAGAGTGAGTGAATGAAAGAGAGTGAGTGTGAGAGTGAGTGTGAATGAAAGAGGATGAGTGTGAGAGTGAGTGTGAATGAAAGAGGATGAGTGTGAATGAAAGAGGATGAGTGTGAGAGTGAGTGTGAATGAAAGAGGATGAATGCAAGAGGATGAGTGTGAATGCAAGAGGATGAGTGTGAGAGTGAGTGTGAATGAGAGTTTGAGTGCGAGGTACAAGTAGAGACAGTTTTTAAAAGGAATCGTAATTGCGTATTGTATTTTAGTCCATGACGTCTTAAACAGCTATAGAACTAATTTTGGAAAGCTAGCTGAAAGCTATACATATATTGAAAGTGTTCTTCCATAGTGTAGCTTGTGGGGACAGTGTTTCACTACCCTGTTTTACCTATAGGTCCTGATGCCAAGCGACCCCCAGGTGGTGGTGGTGGTGGTGGTGGCGGTGGAGGCGGCGGTGGAGGCGGCGGCGGCAGCGGCGGTGGCGGTGGTGGTGGTGAAGTTGGATTTATGGGCGGCCCTCCAATGGGTGGCCCAGGCGGTCCTCCAGGGGGTGGAGTACCACATCGTGGGCTTGGTGCAGTTGAATCAGAGGAAATTCAGGTTCCAGACAAGATGGTCGGCCTTA